ACTTTTCTACCATGTTCCTCAAAACTCTCTGTCCTTACCTGTGACCCAGTTTCTGTGTGTGTGCTCACCCACATGTATTCATGTGTGTGGGTTCATGTGTCTGCATAAGCATGAGGCGACCAGAGGAAAAAACCTCGGGCTTTGTTCCTCAGGCACCACCCACCTTTGAAATATATATATGGAATTTGTTATGTAGACCAGGTTGGCCTTAATCTCACAGATATCCACCTGCCTTTGCCTCCAGAGTGCTGGGATTAAAGGCATGTGCTACCATACCTGACTTATATAAATATATGAGAATACATACATAGTATGTATTTTGATCTTATCCCCCACAACTCCTCCTAGATCCACCCTCTTCCTTCCCACCCAGCCCAACTTTGTGTTCTCTTTAATTTTTTTTATAGACTGCCAAGTCCAATTTGTGCTGCCCATATATTCGTAGGTGTAGGGCCATCCACTGGAGCATGATCAACCTACAAGGGACCACATCCTTGAAAAAAATTGACTCTCCCCCCTTTCAGAAGCCATCAATTGCCAATGGACAGTGGAGTGAGCGTGGCCAGGATGATGACCAACTCAGTGTCACTTAGTCACAGGCATGAAATTTACTGTCATGCCTGTTTCACAGTCAAGGAACTGAGTCTCAGGAAGGTTGACTCACACTGGAGTGGGAATGGGACTTCCTGACCCCCACACTGTGTCCCATGTCCCACAGCCCATGTGGAGGTGACTGACAGTCAAAGCAGGGGCTGGTATGAGGGAGTTGGGGAGCATGGGAACAGGAGAGGTAAGGCCTGGCAGCAGCCCCAAATCCTATGCTCAGCAAGAAGTGGCAAGAGAATGTGCTCTGGGTTGAGGCAGGATTGAAGTGGGCCTTGGTCAGCAGGGGTCCAGCCTGCTTACCCACTGGGTCAACTCAACCAGGGCCAGGCCAGACATAAAATAGAAAATAGCAACAAGTATAAAGAACTAAGGAGAGGGACTGGAGAGATGGCTCAGTGGTTAACAACACTGGCTGCTCTTCCAGAGGATCCGAGTCTGAGTACCGGCATCCACATGGCGGCTAACAACCACCCATAACTCCAGTTCCAGGGGCTCTGACACTCTCTTCTGACCTCCTCAGGCACTGCATGACACACTTTCTCTTGCCTGCATGTGGAACTAAGGGGAAAATGTGGGGAATGGCAGACAGGAAGGTATTCCTGCTGCTTGGGAAGCTGAGGCCAAAAAAATCATGAGTTTGAAGGGCTCCATAGTAAGACCCTGACTCAACAAAACAAAACCAAAGCCAAGGAGAATGTTCAAGCTGAACCAGGGGAGCAAGAAAGCAGGGTGGGTAAGGGTGTCTGAGTTTAGGAAGACATAGGTTCGATTCCCACCTAAGCTATTTACTTAACCTCCCTGAGCCTTGCTGAATTAATCTACGGTACAGGTACAGCCCCTAGTTCAGGGTAGTATGGGGCTAGGAATCTGGGTGGCAGAGTAGAATATCTGTCCTGGCCTTGAGTCTAAAGCTACTGCCCCAGGAAGAGGGCAGTGGTGGAAGGGATGCCAAAAACATCTTTCAGAAGGCCCCGAGCTGTGACAAGCACTGGGATTTAAGTTTAAGCTCTAGAGAAGAAACATATGCCCGCGGCTTGGCTCCTCTTCTATTGGGAGCTCTAACTACATCTCTACAGGGTCTCCAAAGTCAAGCCCCGACTGGCAAACAGCCTAATGCAGGGCCTTTGCTAGTGATACTTACTCCTGGCTCTTGGGAGCAAGCATTTTCTTTAAAAAAAACAAAAAACAAAAAACAAAAAACCCTGCTACCCTAGCTGGAGTCCCGATACAGTGCCCCCTGGCTTTCTTTCTTAAATAAAGAAATGGCCACATGTGTGGTTTGGGGACATTCAAGGATATTCCCACTTGGACTGCAAGCATAGAACTGTTCTCAGGCACCCCTTCCCCCTCCTACATGGAAAAACCCTTTTCTATAGCAAGATGCTTACACCCTAGAATGTCTGGGCCAGCTTACACAAGGTCTCTGTGGTCAGTAGACTCAAGACCCAGGGCCAAGTCCCCATGTGCGGCTCACAGCCTGAAGTCCTGCATCCAACTGTCTAGGCTCACACTTTTCTTTCCCTCCCTCTCTGTGTGGGAGGGATGGCTCTTTTATAATATGCCCACTCAGGTGAGTCAAAAGAAGATAATTTTGCCAGCAGCCAAGCAGCCAGCATCTCCCAGATAAGCCAACTTCTCTCTGCCTGAGATAGGCACAGATTCATCCCTCCATCTGGGTGCTGACAAGTCACAGCTGCCACCACCTTTCTGCTAACTTCAAGTCATCTCTCCAACTCCAGCGCTGTGTCCCCTTCTCTGAAAGCCCTCTCCTTCCCAACTCATGTGCAGAGAGCCCTTCCCCCACTGCTGTTTCTCTTTTAAAAAGCTGCCCACTTCTAAGCCAAGCTGGAATGAGTCACCAGCTCGACCCACTCCCCAAGCCATCTATAGCATGGCTGTTGGGAGGGAGGGAAGGTTTTTTTTTTTTCCCAGGTTCAAAACCTTTCAAGGGCATTTTCCTCCACTCTTCAGCTGGATCGGAAGTGTGAGGCATGCAGACGGTGGGGAGCATTAGCTGATGCCAACGGGTAGATTACAGTGCTTCTCACTTAATCAGCGTCAGCAGGACCCCCAAGCCTGCACTCCTCCACAGGCTAACCAGGCTCTGAGGTTCATGTCTTGGGGATGAGCTCTCCTTGTTCTGTAGGAATCTCAAGAAAGGACACCTGGTCTGATGGAGTCTCTGTTTCTAAGATCCACAAGAGAGTCCCTCTCCCAGAGGGGCAGCCTCACAGGAGCCCTTGTGTCATTAGAGAAACTAGAAATTGCTCTTCATGTCAGGCATGGCAAATATAAGGGTTTACTGTACCCCGGGTGGAGCCTGGGTCGGGGTCCTCCCCTGAAATCGCTGGGAACTAACCAGAATAGAACAACCCTGGTTTCTGACAAGTAACATTATCAACACTCCACTGACATCTGTAAATCTATGCTGGCAAAGGTGACAGCTAGCCCTGCTGGTGACACCCTGAACAAGACATCTCCCTGCCCCTCCAGCTCACCTGCTCTCTCCCTCACTTGTTCTTGGCAGTAGTGTAGTTCCCAATGGTGTAGGAAGAGGATGGAAGAGGGACTCTCTGCCTGCTGCTCCCTCCTGAGGTCACAGCTGGCTGCACTTGCCCCTTCTCAAAAGCAAGGTCTCACATATCTAGATTCTAGAAGAGCTGCTCTCGCCCTCCAGGCTCAGGGTAGAAGGGTCTCACTGTTACTAGCTCTTGAGTAGTATGATGGTTAACTCTACTGTCTTATGTTACTGGATGAAGAATCACCATGGAAACACTTCTGGGTGTGTCTGCTAGGATTCTTCCAGAGAAGTATAACAAAGGAGAAAGGACCACCCTGATGTGGGCAGCATGGACTGAATAAAAAGGAGAAAGTGAGCTGAGCACCAGCATTCATCTCTCTGCTTCCTGGCAGCACACAATGTGATCACCTGCCTCTGGTGTCCACTGCTGTGCCCTCCCCACCATGATGGATTGTGTTCCTTCTTAAACTATGAGCCAGCATAAACCTTTCCTTCCTTTAAGCTGCTTTTGTCAGGTATTTTGTTACAGCATCAGGAAAAGTAGCAAAAACAGTAGCATACCCCAGCTCCTTGGGGTTCTTACACCCATCTGTATGTCTCCCCAAATTACCTAATCTTAGCACACTAATTCCTGCCAAGGCCCCAATAGATGGACACATCAGCAAGGTTCACATTGAGAGCCCCAGTATTTATTATGCCCTTGAACTAAGAAAGGGCCTCAACAGGTTGTAAACATGAACAGTGAAAGGCAAACCCATACCCACACCCACCCTGACCAAGTTGAGGGCCACCAGGCTGGCACAGGGAGGCTTTGGGAGTCAAGGTCATGTGTGGGAAGGGTCAGGAAGCCTGCCTTGTGAGGCTTTTTGCCTGGTTGGCCAATGCTCTCTTATCCACAGAGCCCAGGGTTCAGCACACACTCAGGTCCTGGGTTTGAGGACTGGCCATCAAATCTAGGGCTCCTTTCCAAGGAAGGAGCCCTGGAGATCCTCTTCCACCTTGCTGCCTGCCAGAAGGAGCAAGGGAAGGGGAAGGATGGGTTCTGGCCCTATGACAACACAAACTGGACACACGTTACTTATGAGCTATGAAGGTGGTACCCTCTATGACTGTTTCATTTTTCTTAGTACTTATTTATTTTTATTATTCTGTGTGTATGAGTGTTTTGCCTGCATGTATTAAGTGTACCATGTGAGTGCAGTACCCAGAGAGGCCATAAGAGGGCATAGAATCCCCTAGAACTGAAGTTAAGAATGGTTGTTACCCACCCTTTGGGTGCTGGGAACCAAACCCAGGTCCTTAGCAAGAGCAGCCAGTGCTCTTAATCACTGAGTCATCTCTCCAGTTCCTTTAAAAAATATTTATTTATATTTTTATTTTATGTGTATGAGTGCTTCACTTGTACACCTGTGTTGTGCAATGCCCACAGAGGTGAGAAGAGGGCATATGATCCCCTGGATCTGGAGGTACAGATGGTCGTTAGACACCATGTATGTGCCAGGAACGGAACCCGGGTCTCCTGGAAGAACAGCCAGTGTCTTAACTGCTGAGACACTGTCTCCAGCCCCTCTTTTTGGGGGGACAGTATCAGATAGCTCAGGTTGGCCTCAAACTCCCTAACTATGTAGCTAAGGATGACCTTAAACTTCTGATCTTCCTGTCTCCCCTTCCATGTACTGGGATCACAGACCTTTGCTATCATGCCCAGTTTATGTGGTCCTAGGGATTGAACCCAGAGCTTCAAGCATGCTAGGTAAGCACTCTATCAATAGAGTCACATCCCCAGCTATAACTGAGTCTTCTTCAAGTATCTTAAGAGTATTCTCTGGAGTATTTAGAATGTCTCGGTTTTTCTCATTTTTTTGAGACAGGGTCTCACTCTGTAGCCCAGGCTGACCTAGAACTCACAGCACTCCTCCTGCCTCAGCCTCTCAAGTGCTGGAATAAGAACTGTGAGCCACCGTGCCTGGCTGTGTCTGGAATGCCTCTTTGCCCAGGAGGGGCATGAACATGGGTCACAAGCTCCCTGAGAGAAGGGAAGCCCAAGTGGCCTCTGCTTTGTACCAAGGGAGATACCAGCCCTTCCCTCTATACCATCTGAGCAGCTTGTCCTGCACCCTCCCAGGGGCTCAAGTCTCACACAGTACCCATGTCCTTGGCACCCTCCTAGATGAAGTGCTCTAACAGGGCCGCGAATGCTGAGCCTAGCATCAAGCCCACAGCCATGTAGAATGACATTACCACACCTGTGGCCTCAGCCAGCTCCCGGGGCACAATCTTGGGCCCATAGATGAGCACCAATGTGCTGAGATAGCCATTGCTCAGCCCCAGCAGGCAGGTGAACAGCACAGGGTAGATGTCAGACTGGAAGAGTACCACAGTCAGGTGTGAGCGAGGCTGGTAGTTACAGAGCAGAAAGAGGGGCACGAAACAGATGCGCAGGAGCACCAGTCCTGGGAGCACCTTGCTCCTAGGACCTGGCATCTGGATCCAGGCTGTGATCTGGCGGCCACAGAGGTCAGCAAAGTTGTAAAGGAGGAAGACGGTGAGGGGCACAAAGAACTTGGTGGTCCACGGAGAATGGCTCTTGTGCATGGACTGGATGTTGGTGGAAATGGCAGGGAAGATGAGGGCAGTGACGAGGTAGAGGAAGATGGTGCAGAAGCCAAGGCCAGCTGTCTTCTTTAGGATGGGTCCAAGGGGTGGTGTGTGTGCCACTCTGGACCTGGGGGTTACTGAAGGGATCCCCAGGGTGTCCTGTGATGGCTCTTCTTCACCAGAAAACATGTGGGCTGGACCAACTGGCCTCATGTAGTACCTGCAGAAGGGCAGTGATGTGGTCAGTGGGACAACTAGGAGTTGGCCACCCCAAGGATACAGAGGGGCAAACTCAAGGTCTTCATAGACGCTGTGGGTATTCAGAGCACAACCAGAGGCCCAGGAGGCAAAGCCTGAGCCCTGAGGACCTACCAGCCCAGGATCTTGTGACATCATGTGAGGGGCGCAGGGGGCTAGAGAAGGCCTGGGCTATCCTTAGCCAGCCTGCCAGGCTAGACTCTAGTCCCTGAGTCAGAAGCAGAGGAAACCAGCCCTGATGACCATAGCAAGTGGAGACCCTGGACTGGATCACCTGTCTTTATTTTGTGTCAGAAGGAGGATGTTCAGATAAAAGTAATATTCAGAAATATAAAATGTAAGCAAGGTGTGGTCACTCAGGCCTATCTGTAATCCTGATACTCAGGAGGCTGAGGCAGAAGACTCCAGTGTGAGGTTAGCTTGGGCTATACAATGACACCTTGCCCTAAAAAAAAAAAATAAATAAGGTGGGAAGCACTCCTGGGGATGTATCTCAGTTGGTAGAGTACTTGCCTAGCATACCCAAGGCCCCAGGTTGGACCACCAGCGCCACATAAACCAGACATGGTAGCTTGTACCCATAAGCCCAGTATTTGGGAAATAGAGGACAGAGGATCAGAAGTTTAAGTCATCCATGGCTACATAGTGAGTTGAAGCCAATGTGGGCTACATAGTTTCAGGACAGTCTGGGCTACAGAGTGAAAGCCTATCCCCCTGAAAACAAGCAAAAACCCGAAACACCAAAAATAAAACCCTGAGACATTCCATATATTTCCAAAGAATACCCTAGAGACATTTGAAGAAGATACAATTACAGCTAGGGATGTAGCTCAGTTGATAGTGTACTTGCCTAGCGCGCGAGAAGCCCTGGGTTTGATCCCCAGCATGGCATAAACTAGGTAAGGTAGCAAATACCTACAATCCCGGCACCTGGGAGGTGGAGGCCGGAGGATAAGTTCAAGCTCATTCTTAGCTACACAGTGAGTTGAGGCTAGCCTGAGCTACATGAGACTCTGTCTCAAAAAGGAAAGAAAAAAAGAAAGAAAAGAAAGGAAGGAAGATAAGAAAGAAAAGAAAAATAAAGGAGGAGGAGGAGAAAGGAAACCAGGGAAATACAAAAAAAAATGAAGCTGGATGTGAAGCACAGGACTGTGACATCAGCCCTGGGAGACTTGAGAAGATTGTGAGTTTGAGGGCAATCTGAGCTACAGACACACACATACATACACATTTCTACAATTTGTAAATTACAAGGGCAGTACATGCTTAACGTGATGACCTGAAATAAGAGAGTAGAAATGATACCGTGGAAAGACAAGACCTGCCTCATACCTTGGATCCCACTCCGGGGCATGACCATGAGCAAGAGGCAGACAGCATTCATTCGTATCAAAACCACAATGCATACTCACATATACGCACATCATAAATGCATATACACACACCACACACATGCATATACATGCACCATAAACACACATACATATCACATGCACACACACCATAAACACACATATACTCACCACATACACTCACATACATGCATACACACACATACACCAAACACGCATCATATACACACCACGTACATGCATAAATACATACATATATACACATACATTTATCATACACATACATATACTATATACACATACGTTCATCACACACATATACACACACATACATGCATACATACCACATACACATATATACCCACCACACACAGACATACACCACACATGTGTATACATATACACAGTACATATATGCATACACACATATCACAAACCACACATACAAACACACACATATACATTCACATATTGTTATATTTCTGAAGCAAAAATAGGACCCAGCTAGAGCTCTGATGGACCTCTGTCATAATGTTTGAATACTTTACACAAATAACATGCAACAGCCCAAGTCATGTATACCATCATTTGTAAATGCACACCCATCACACTCGAACAACACCAATCTGCAGCCGTCCTATCACAGAGACCTGTGGCTCTACATTCCTCGACTGTGTTGCTGCATCACAGTTTAGAATATACCCACCACACACAGACATACACCACACGTGTATACATATACACAGTACATATATGCATACACACATATCACAAACCACACATACAAACACACACATATACATTCACATATTGTTATATTTCTGAAGCAAAAATAGGACCCAGCTAGAGCTCTGATGGACCTCTGTCATAATGTTTGAATACTTTACACAAATAACATGCAACAGCCCAAGTCATGTATACCATCATTTGTAAATGCACACCCATCACACTCGAACAACACCAATCTGCAGCCGTCCTATCACAGAGACCTGTGGCTCTACATTCCTCGACTGTGTTGCTGCATCACAGTTTAGACAACAGACCCACTCTAACTGCTCCCTACACATGGGCACTTGGGTTGGTTCCAGTTTTTCGACACTGTAAGTTATAGGGCAACATATAACCTACACATACACCTGTGTACACATTCCTAGTATTTTGGCAGGGTAAGTTTCTAGAAGAGATAGCTGAATTAAAATGTTTGCACCTGTAAATTGTGCATAGATAGAGGATAGAGGATAGAGGGTTGGCAAGATGACTCAAAGATAAAGAAAAATCAAATACAAGCAGAGGTAAGCAAGTAAAAGTGCTTACTGCCAAGCCTGACAACCCAAGTTCTACCTCCGAAACCCACATGGTGGGAGAGAACCGAGTCCTGCAAGTTTTCCTCTGATCTCCACAAGCATGCTATAGTACACACACACACACACACACACACACACACACAAACAACAATAACAAACACAAACAACAAACAACAAAACCCTGCTCTCCAAATAGAAAGTCCCACGTCTCTGCCCTGTCTCTTGCCCACCCCCAGGAAAGCAGCCTGTTGCTCTCCATGACAGTGTGTGTTTCTTTCTTCTACAACTCTGACCACACTGTGTACTCACGATGTTTGTTCACTGGCTATGTAAGTGTCCTGCCTGCACATCCTCAACAACTAATATCATCAATCACTTTACTTTCTGTTTGGGGTACTTTGCCTTGCTGGGTGACCTTGCCCCTCAACCTCTCTAGGCCTCAGCTATAGAAGAGAAGGCAAAGGCGGACTGTACTTACATGGTTGAGCAGGAGGCTTGGTGTGCATGTAGGGGCAGGGATGGGGACAGTATGTGGTGACATCTGGGTCTGGCTTCAGCCTTGTCTCTGCTTCCTTGTGTGATTTCAAGTTAGACACGCCCCTCTCTGGGCCTCAGTCTCTCCTTTGTAAGATGGTGGTTTTACAGAGTCAAGCAGTCTGGAAGCCCCAGCTAGTGTCCTCCATTCCCCTGCTGATAGCAGAGAGCAGCTGTGCCAGTCATGGGAGACATTTTCCTGTGTGACACTGGGCAGGTGCCTGGGCCTCCCTCAGTCTCATTTCACAGCCTCCCCTTAGGGAAGGGAACAGAACCATGTCCCTCTACCCAGTAACAGCTCTCTGCCTGGAGTTAGTCACGTAGATGTCACGGTCTAGTGATTCTTCCAACTTCCAAGTTCCACGTTCTCAGGGGGCACTCTTTTGAAGTGAGATACAGTCTACGCAGCCCCCTTGAGCCCGGCCTTCCATGAGCTCTAGCAGGGCATGAGTTTCTGCAAACCCAGACTCTTAGCAGAGGTTTAATGTGCAGATGCTGGTGGAGGATGCGGGAGACTCAGTGCTTAGCTGGAAGGCCACCAGCCTGCCCAGATGAACTGACATCTACTCCCCAGGTAATACTGGGGTCTGCTAAAGTCAGGGCAATGAGGACTCACAAGGGGCCGCCCCTTTTAGGGACAGAAGGGTGAAACAAGGAAAGATGCCACTCCAGAAAGAGCGCTAAGGTCAAATGTCACCAGGAGGATCACCCGAGGGCATGGCTGTTAGCTCCCCGATGTCCAAGTTATCATAAATACAAACAAAAATACACATGCCACACGCTTAGCTCAGCTGCACCCCACGAATCATTTTTCTGAAGGAAAAGGACAAAATACAGCTCAGGCTCCCCCAGCCCTGCTAGTTCTCCATGCAGATCATGGGTCGGCCTCCCAGCCTTAGACTGGTCTCAGTGTCCTCCCCTACAAGGTGGGGACGGCCCACTTAGTCACAGCAGATATGGCTAAGAGCATGCTATGACAGGAGCGCAAGAGAGAGTCAGCCTGGAGTTTCTTTTCTTTATTTTTGTTTTGGTTTTTGAGAGTTCTCCTGTATTCCAGGCTGGCCACAAATTCGATGTATAGCCGAGGATGACCTTGAGTTTCTAACCCTCCAAGTCTTCGCTACCAAGTGCTAGGATGGCATATACTGTCATGCCTGGTGTATGTGGTCCTGGGGATCAAACCCAGGGCTTTGTGCACTTGAGGCCAGCACTCTATCAAAGAGCTATATCCCCAGGCCCAGTTTGGATTCTCTTCTTTTCTTAAATATATATACTTTATTTATGATTTTTATTTTATGTGTATGAGTGTATTGCCTGCATATGTGCAAGTGATCTTCTGGAACTGGAGTTATGGGTGGTTGTTAGCCACCTTGTGGACCCTGGGAATCAAACCTGGCCGGGTCCTCTGCAAGAGCAGTCAGTAAGGACTCTTAACCGCCGAGCCATCTCTCCAGCGCCCACCCCCCACCTCCATCCCCCTACCCTACCCCCCTTTGGATTTTCAAAGAGCAGCAAGAAGCAAGAAAGACAAGGGCAGAAATTGAGAGGCCTCTTGAGAGAGACAGACCAGGGGTTCCACAGCTATTGAAAGTAAAGGCCTGAAGGCAGGAGGCAGAGCCAGACAGATCTCTGGGTTTGAGGCCAGCCTGGTCTACATAACGAATTTCAGGCCCACCTGGGGCTGCATAGTGAGATCCCATCTCAAACAACAAAAAACAGAGCCAGGCATGGCCTTTAATTCTAGCACTAGGGAGGCAGAGGCAGGCAGATCTCTGTGAGAATGGCAGCCTGGTCTACATAGTGAGTTCCAGGACAGCTGGGACTACAGGGAGACCTTGTCTCAATAAAACAAAAACAAAAACTCCCCAAACAAAACAAACAAAAGACTGTAGAGGCTTAGAGCCCTGTCCCATGCTGTCCCCTCTTCCTCCCGCCACCCGCCCGCTGTGGGAGTTAGAGAGCAGCCAGGTGGCTCTGACTCCTGGTTTCTTACTTTGCACATGGAAATATAAACAAGTGATAGCAACCTTATAAGAGAGACAAGAGTGTGGGTGGATGCATAAGTAAGATTCGACATACTTAGTGAGGCTGAGCCCATTGCTGGAGCAAGGGTGGGGAGTGTGGGGTTCATTCAGCAACTAGAACATTGCTCTTTAATACTCTGGCCTGTTTCCACTTCTAACACCTTTCCTGTCCCCAAGCTTGCAGGCTGTGCTTTCTTAGGGTGTGACCAAAGCCAGCTTTTGCCATCAAGGCCAATTTGCTAAGCAACTGCAGGACCCAGGAACAACATTCACACAAGCTTCAGCCATCTTACAACTCACAGTGCAGGGGGACAGGCAGCTGACAAGAACAGGGACCTATGCTCTAACCAGATGACTGGAAGGTAGAAGATGGAAGGAAGGACCGAGCCAGACCTCACCTGGCATACTCCAGCCGGGGCAGCAGCAGGTAGAGCCCCACACAGAGCCCAAGGAAAACAGCTGCGGTGAGAAAGAAGGCCAGGGCACTGTCCCGAACGTCACTGGATGCTGCCAGATCCACCAGCGAGGCCACAGCACTGACGGTCCCTCCCATGGCTCCTCCTGCAGAGAGCAAGAGGGTACCAGGAGACATCAGGGTGGGCACAGGGAGGAGCACAGCCTCAGAAGCAAAACCTCCCTGTGCTGAAAATACCATAGGTTCAGAGTCCTAACCTGAGCAGGTGTGGGTCTCACAGCCTGAATTCCAGCACAGATGGTGCAGATGGTTCAAGGGGCTGCTCCACATTCCTGCTCTGGCCCCCTCTCCTTGCCAGGGGCTGTGACATCTTACCCATGTGACCATTTTGCCACTATGCCTCTTATTGCTGCCCAAAACCTTTCCCATGCCAGGCAGATGACCTAGAGGACTGATCACAGGAACCAAATGATACACATGTGACTTTATCTGTGCCCCATGCTAGCTGTGACCCTGGGGGCATCTCTAAGCAAGTTTGCTCAACTGTAAAATGGGAACAACCCTGGCTGGCATATTGCTCTGAAGGCTGTACGAGATGGTCTTCCTTAATCACTGTCACATGGGCTATGAGGCGGGGAGGAGTGTCTCTCTTTTCTTTGGCCCCCTCATAGCCACTGGAGAGTCACCATGTGCTGGCCAGGAGCCAGAAGGTTGGACTGAGGAAGTCCTGCCTCTCCCTGCTCTGCCTGCCTGGAAGATGGGGTGACACTTGTCCTCTCCATCCCATGAGACCACAGTGAAGTGGAAAAGGACAAAGACAGGCCACTCAGGATAGTGTGGTGACTAGCTGGCTGGTGGGAGGAGCTTGCTGACCCAATGAGGCTGACAGCAAACAGCGCAGGGCAAACCAGTCCACACAGGCATGATCTGCTCTGATGTCGATGGGGGACTCTCACTGGCACCGTTTTGCCCACTGTTGATTGTGGCAGAGTAGGGACAGAGGAGGCCCTGTCCACCACAGTAGGTCCTGCTGCCTGGGTGGAGCCAGAGCACAAGACTTGAGAGAAGGCAAATGAGCAGAGTGACTCAGGTTACCCATGCTAGACTCCTAATCCTATCTCCCCTCTGCAACTTCCAGCTGTGTGGTCTTCGGCAAGCCCCTTGACCTCTCTCTGCCTGTTTGCTCATCTATGAGTTTGGTGCTCCCAGTACCCACCCCAAGGACTGCTCTGAAGATTAAAGGGATTATTACATGTTAAGCAGAGTCTGACACAGAGAAGAGCCAAACACCAAATAAATCTTCTGATCCTCAATTAGCTACTTGGCTATTTCTGTCCTTTCCCCACATCAAAGCAGCGGCAATGAGGTAAACCCTTTGCCAGGGGGGCTCCCACTTCCGTGAAGCTGCCATCCCCACCTGGGTGCTCTGGGAGAGATGTAGGGTTAGCTCAGCGAGCCGTTTGGTGGCTGCCTGAGGAAGAGATCTTAACGGCACTGCCGACTGAGCCCCTCTCCCTTCCAACTTGCGCAGAATCTACAATATTATCGGCAGCCACAAACTGGGCCTCCGGGAGCTCATCCTTCATGACTCCCACTATCTCATCAGTTATGGAAATACATGCAAATGAGGGCTTTGAAATAACACCATCTCAAAACAAATGAATTGTTCCTCAGATGCCAACATGAGCAGAATTCACAGATGGGTTCCTCCAGACAAAAAGCAAAGGAGGCTGGGGTCTCTGGGAGATCAGGTTACCTCAGCTGGTCCAGGGTGCCTGACAGGTGTCTGTGAGGGTCACACATAGCTGTGACAAGGATGGAGGGTCCAGGGTAATGAATGCTGAAGTAGAAGACCTAAATTCACCCACCCTTTTTTATTTCTTTGTTTTTATAAATTTTATTTTTGATTTATTTTTATTTTATGTGTATGAGTGTTTTGCCTGCATGTATGCAAGTGCACTCCTGTCATGCAATGCCTGTGAAGGCCAGGAGAGGGGGTCAGATCCCCTGGAGATGGAGTTACAGACGGTTGTTAGCTTTCACATGGTGCTAGGAACTGAACCAGGGTCCTCTGGAAGGGCAACTAGTACTTTTAATTGCTGAGCCATCTCCAGCCCCACCCTCCTTTATTTCCTTGAGATATAGTCATTACGTGGCCCAGGCTGGCCTGGAACTCAAAATCCTCTTGCCTCAGTTGTGAAATGGTGGGGTTATAGGTACATGCCACTACATACAGTGTCCCCCATTCACTGTTTCCAAAAATGGACTTTCTGAAGAATTCCCAGAAGACTGTCTTCTCTAGAGATCTGCAAGTGCATGATGGACTGAAGAGCCACTTGCCCTTGGAAAGGGGGCCAGCCAAACTGAAGCTATATTGAAAACTCTGACAGCACAGAGGGAGATGAGGGATAAGAGCTTTTTTCTGAGGCCAGCAGAGGGATTAACGTTTGATGGCCGTTCTGCTGGGCAAAGACATGCCTTTCTTAAAGCAATGCCAGGGCGTGCTGACTGTACTCAGGAAACTCAATGACAAGTTCATTTTCATTTTATTTTAGGCCCAAGGGTTTCCCAGGATAGAACTGAAGCCTAATCCTATATCAAAAATGACAAACAGGAGCTCACATCTAGACTCTGATCCATCGGGAGTAATTGCCTCAAGTGCTGGCTTGAGAGGGATTTAGAGGCTCAGGAGGAAAGATAGGGATCTATTAGTGATGTCTGGCACTGGTATGGAGTGGGGAGGGGATATGCGCTTGTCAAGGTACGTGTCATCCCTGCTACATCTTACTTTTACCTGGCATATTAACTAATAGACACAGTGCTTGTGTGTTGTGCAATTCTTCTCGGGTAGGCAAGTGTTTAAAGCCATCCTCTGCACACCAGAGACACATGGGGACACAGAGCAGTAGAGCCTCCAGGCTCACTTTAGGGGATGGTGGTCTTCAGATAAAGCAGATGCTAACTGACTAAGCTGTTTACCTTGTGGGGCCATTTGGGCGAGAGGCAAAACTGCCAAGGTTCCGGGAACAGGCTAAGCATCAGCTTCCAGACTTCAGTTAGAGGGGTGCCCCAAGTCAGGCCTGAGCAAGCCACAGGATGCCATGGTCCAGGGGACCCAGGAGTCTATTCAATAGGTATTGGTTCTGAGGGACACAGTCTTGTTGATCTTTGAGTCCCCAGCACCGAGTGGAGCCTCCATAAAACTAGAAAGGAGGAAAGATAGAAAAGGAGGCAGGGAGGAAGGGGGAAGGAAAGGCTAATGGAAGGGAAGAGGGCAAGGGAGAGAGCAGACAGGACAGGAGGGAAGGAAAGAAAGGAAGGCTGCTTTCAGAAATGGAGTTGTGAAGGCATCGAGGGTCTCCACAAGGGCTGCAATCGTATCTCCCTCCTGCCCACTCTTCTTCCTGTAGGGCTTCCACACTTCTGCAGAGCCACAGAGACTCATCTGGAGTCTAGGTGAGCTAACAGCTGTGGAGGACGTGCCCACATGACTTCTGTAGCTGTATCAAAATGAAGCACTGCCTGGGTCTTCAGTGATGCTTACTCTGAGTGTGACCTGGGTACCATGCCCCTAGCTAGCCCAGGCAGCCACAGTGAGGCCCATGTGGAGAGCCAGAGGCCCCAGTCCCCAATCCAGCCACACCTGCTGTCACCCCACAGGGCAGTGGAGAGCTCGCTGTTTCTTCTACTCCTGTGCAAGTTGTAGAGCAGTAAGTAGGATGAAGAGCTCTAAGCCACCAAGTATGGGCTGGTTTGTTTGGTGACACTAGGAAAACAAGATGGACCCAGGACACCTTTCCTTTCCTGGAAAGACCACTGTGGCTCCCTCCCATAGCTGAGGTAAAGCTGAGCTAGGCCAGGTCTCACCTGATATTAGCGCCTGCGCATTCCTCATGGGGAAGGAGCCCGTCAAGCCATACACACTGCTGTTGAAGACAGTGGAGGAGCTGCTGACGATAGCCATGCACACGATGGTGACACTGAAGAAGCCTCGGGTCCAGGAGGAAGTGTCCACCTTCACCAGCACAATCATCACCACAAAGATGATCAGTGAGACAGTCAGCGAGGCCAGGACTCGGACATGCACCTGGACTCTGGGTGAGGACCGGAATCAGGGAGAGGTGATTAGATTCCCCTCTGGACTCTGCATGGGTCAGGCTACTGAGATGTCTAAGTGAAAGGGGAAAGCTCATCCAGAGACTGCGCACTCTGCCATTAGTAGGCCTGGTCATGATTCCTGCCTGCCTATGACATGGGGAAGAGACTCGGGGGGTCCTGGTTTCCACTTCTGCACAAGGGGAGCTGCTTGACTGACCAGTGGAGAGTGGAGAGGCTCCAGGAAGCTGTGTGCAGCACCAACAGTGGGGCCCGCCTGGCTCACTGCTGCTTGTTACCAACCTGTGTGGCTCAAGGCCAGGAGCCCAGGCAAGAGGCCACTCCTCCTGCCACAGCAATACCCTCCTGAGTTTAGACTATATAACTGGGGCTGGGGAGATGGCTCAGTGGTTAAGAGCACTGGTTGCTCTTCTAGAGGACTCAGGTTTGATTCCCAGCACCCACATGGTGGCTAACAACCATCCATAACTCCAGTTTCAGGGGATCTGATGGCCTCTTCTGATCTCCGTGGGCATTATATGACATGGGTACATTTGCATACATGCAGGTAGAACACTCATACACATAAAATAAAAATAAATTTTAAACTGTACAATCATTTCTGACTTCTTTCTCCAAATCTGGCAGAGGGGTGGGGGGAGGAGAATAATCATTATCATTGTCATCATGACCACACACCGCTTGGTTTGTGCCAGGTCATCGTCACACTCCACCTTGCTCACCTCCCACTACAGCTCCATAAGGGAGCTCTTCCTCTGTATCAGAGAAGGCCAGGAGCTGGCTCAAGGTCACTCAGTTGTGAGCCCAGGAAGGGCTCTCAGAAGCGCTCTCTGGGATGGTCAGGAGTTGAGAGGGGCGATGGTCTTAGCAGGGATGGCAGCTGCTGAGGCCACACTCAGACAACCCAGTCCAAGAGCTCCACACATCCTGCACCCTAGCCAAGCACTCTGTTCAATCCTCACCTGCCCAAGGAAGGCAGGGATGGGAGCCCTCAAAGGTGGCTGTGCACTTTCTACCCTAGGAAGAGAGACCACCACCTTAAGGCTGTTCAAACCATCAGCTTAGACTAAGCTTTAAGTTTGATTGGATGTTTATTTCAGTTTCTCACTAACCAGTGGAAAAATGAGGGCTAAGAGAAAAGCCAGATTAGATATATAGATTTTTTTTTTTTAAAGACAAACTTGAGAGGTAGGAAAATACAGATCTGTGTATGTTAGTAAGTGTGAAGTGATTTGCATGGAGGGAACAAAGGGTGTTTTCATAGCATGATCAGTCCCAGGCTGATGCCACTCTCTGGATCCTGGGAGGGGCTGGAGGGAGAATGGGGCAGCCTCTCCTTTGGAAGGGGAAGAACAGTTCAAGGTCACAGAGGGAATCTGTGGGAGCCAGGATGGGAACCTAGGTAAGCTGAGACCAGGCTAGTCTGCCCCTATGTTCTGATGTCCTGCACACAGGAACCACTGTGCCAAGTACTTCCAGGTGAGTGTGGGGCATAATCCAAAGGAGCAGGACTCAGTTCACCCTGGTGTCCGGTATTCCAGCAGGAGGGCCAGCAGCACTGTCGGGCACGGCTGAGCCAAAGAGGGGGAGAGGAGAGAGGAGAGGAAGGAGAGAGAGAGAGAGAGAGAGAGAGAGAGAGAGAGAGAATACCTTCTCAGGTTCTCAGGACTCTGGCTGAGTGTAAATTTGAGCTGGAGACAGGCAGAGCCCAAGTCTGCAAAGGCCTCATGCACCCCACAAGCCAGGCCTTGATCCTCAAAGGGGTGACAGTGGGCCTGTGAGCTTGTCTGCTAGCATCCCTCCTCTGGGACAGTGTTCCTCCTGGACAATTTATCCTGTGGAGGTGGTGGGTCATAACCACCCACACCTGCCCAGCCTTAAACAACAGGAATGTGACCAGGTCAGGTGATCGAGGTTTATCAGTGCTCTTAGATACCAGCCAGGGGTCTACATGTGGCCCACACAGGCCAGACAGCCATCCCGGGGTGGTCCTACAGACGTCACTGGAGAGCTGATCTCTTGGAGAGTGTGTCTGGTTGCTGGGTGCCAGCTCTGTGGGGTGGGGATGCCCACAGAGTAGAGCCCCCATGGAGATACAGAGACTAGGGACCATGGGAAGGAGATTCCCTAGATCTAATCATGCCTGAAGGCAAACCTGACTTTTTCAGTTAAAGAGGAAGTAAATCCTTTCCTGTGTGCCATTTTACTGAACGTACCCACTAACAGAGTATGTGAAGGGTCCAGGCTGGGGACAACCCAGCCAGAAACTCCAGAGATACTGTTCCAAAACACTGTGGCCCAGGATTAGTCTGGAAGTGACAGGCCGCTGACACCTCCCAACAGCAGCCTTCAGCCAGTGGCCAACGAGATTGGTAGATACAATCCTATCTTCTTCCTTTTTCGAAGGTGTTCCACTCTAGCTCCCTGAGGTTCTAGAATGATCTGGGATCCCTCTATGGGGGTTTGGGGGACAAGGCCTCCTTTCATGGTTGGTTTGCTTTCTTTCTTTCTTTCTTTCTTTCTTTCTTTCTTTCTTTCTTTCTTTCTTTCTTTCCCTCCCTCCCTCCCTCCCTCTCTCTCTCTCGCTCTCTCTTCTCTCTCTCTCTCTCTCTCTCTCTCTCTCTCTCTCTCTCCCCTTCACCTCCCAAGTTAACTACATGCCCTGGAGCTTCTTGTTTGGGGTCTGCTTCTGGGAAATTTCAGACTGTAACACCCACAAGGACTCCGCACTGGACTGCATCTTCTTAAGACTCCACAGGGGCTTCAGGCAGGGCAGGACTGCTGAGAGACCAGGAGGAGTGGCTGGAGCCCTAAGGTCCAGAAAGGCTGTAGTTACTGCACCCCAGTGTGCCCTGGAGGCCCTGAGCTCAGAGTGCCTCTACGCACTCAGCTCTGTTCCTCAGGGCGCCACCCTCATGGCATCTGGAGCCACTCATACCCCCAAGATCATAGCCAGCAGCACTCTGCCCAGCTCTGCCAGGGACTTGCTGGGTGACCTTAGGCAAATATTCACCCTCTCTGTGCCTCCTCTTCTCATCTCCAAAAAGAAAGAGGCTGGCCTAGGTGATAGGAAAGTGCCACCCACTTATTTTAAATCTGAAGAAATCCACATGGAGGCACATTGGGGGACAAATGCAAGAAAGTTTTAACCAGTCCTGTGGGATCTGCTGAAGGCAGAGAGTGATCAGTCAGAAGATGTTTTCTCCAGGTGCAATCTGTAGGTAGGGTAGAGGGCATCCACCAAGCTCACTTCACCTCTGGCAGCCTCTGTCTCCAGTCACCTCTCCATACTGATGAAGTCTTGCAGGTCACCATGGCTTTGCAGGGAATTGGGAACTTCTTACTCAGGAACCCCCAGAGTGGAGCAAAGGGGAGCAAATGAGGCGCACACAGTAAAGGCACCTGAGCTGGCCTGCCTGTTTCAGTGCCTTACCTGCGGAGGGCTCCTTCCCACCTGGTTACTCCCTCCTACCTAACCACCCTCCCACAAAGCCAGCACAGGGTTCCAGGCCCTCAGAAGTCACATGGGAGCTATTCTCAATGCTCTGGAGCTGGGTACAACATAGAGGTCAATCCCACCGACACCAAAGGAGGCACAATGCCCACCCCCCATGTAAGGAGGGTAGCCTGGGATGGATGCTTCTGGGATTCTAGAGAAGTCTAGGCAAGTGCTGGCTGGCCTGGTGTCAGGTTCTACCCCAGAAATTAGGCAGGCCCAGAGGATAGCTCTGGTTGCCACTCTAAGGATGCTGGGGCAGCTCTGGGGGAGGGCTGCCCATCTCTACTCCTTGCCAGTGAGAGCTCAGCACCCCAGGGGACTGATTTCTTTCCAAGTCTCCAAAATGTAAATCCAGCTCATCCGTATTTATAATGCTGCAGATTTAACATAATAAAACACTTGGCGATTATGGATGAGCCAGGCAGAGAAGCCAGGGTGCTCCAGGAGGGAGAGAAGGAAACATTTCAATCTCCCACATTAAATACAAAACAGCTTCGCCCCAAACAGTACTTGGCAGCTGGGAATGAGCAAATGAGGCTGGGGAGCTGTTTTCCCTGTGGCCCTCAACACTGCCTACAGCCCAAGCCAGGGCCAGGGTTAGGGTCTGGGCACCTGTGTCGCCACCTCTCTGTGGAGCTCCCTCCTTGCCCAGGCCCCTCTTAACCACTCTCCTTATGCCCAGAGAGGTCTGGCCCAGGGGGCTCAACACTGGGGAAATGGGGACAGGTGGCCCAGGTTTCAAGGGCAGATGGGCTGAGGAAGTCCACTCAGTGGTCACATGACCTAAGGCTGGGCCACCTAGGTGGGCTGCTTTCCTCTCTTCAAACAGGGCCGCTGTTCAAGCTGGCTGGATGCCAGGAGGGTTCAAGTTGCTAAAGTGCCTACAGGACCTGACCATTTAGAAGTACAGGCTGTCTTGACTGGAGGTCACATTCCAAGGTCCCCAAGAGGTGGCTTCCATGGCCATGAGGGAGAGTGCCAGGGTACATGGGCCCATGGCAGCATATCTGTGACCTGAACTAGGAAAATGTGACATATATAGTAACGTAATGAAGAGGAATCACGGGCATTACCCACTTGTCAGTTGGTGACCTGGATCCAGAGGGGAGAATTCTCATTTGTGGGGACCTAAGCTATTCTGGCCTTGCAGAGAGGTCATGAGAGGCCTGAGAGGGCAGAGGGAGGGTGAGGCAGAGCTCCCTGCTACCATGACTGCCCTTAGTTAGGGCCACACCATTTTGTAAAACTCCTCCATTCTAACTAAACAGTGACAACTCCCAAAATGAAAGTCACTTGCTTTCCAGAACTGAAGTGACTTGTTTCTCTGGGTCCCTGCCCCTCCAGCTCTATCGCCCCCAGTAATGGCTGGCCAGGAGACATGTTTATCTATCTCCTGACATTCTTTTGCTCACCACTCCCTGGTCACTCCTATCAAAAGCCAATCTTAGGCCAAAAAGGAATCTTTCAACTCCCCGGTTCCCACCCCCCTTTTCCCTATAATTATCTTAGCCTGTTAGCGAGCTACAAGTTCTCTACTAGTGATCTCCCTTCAGGTCCCCCCACCTCATTTCTTTGTCTCTCTTTTGTTTTGGCCAGCCCTACATCTGCCCCTGTCCTTGCTTTTCTCTGTCACCTCCTCTTTCCTCCCACTGGGCACTGCCTGGGACCACCCCCACTCTGTCTTCCAGAAGCTGGAGGGGTTAAAGGAACACTAGGGTCAAACGCTAGTGCCATCACCCCAGGGTACGTCTCTGTTGGCTAGGACACTATGGATAGTTCTGGGGGCCAAGAGGGGAGGCCAGTCTACTACACGTGCTTCGAGATCCAACGGCCTATCTGAACTTTTCTCTCTCTCCCAGACTACACTTGAGTTTCAGAGGGCTATACATTCTATGACGTTTTTGCCACTGGAAAGTGGGGTCTATGTCTCTGGATTGGAAGGGGATTTATAACAGCCTTGACCAATCCAGTACAGTAAAAATAACACTATGAAAACTTGTCCCTGGCTTTTATGACTCCAGGATTCCGGGAAAGTGAGAGAAACTAATTACTGCTACTGTTGCAAGTCACTGTGCTTTGGGAATCTATCATACAACAGTGACCATAATGTGTATAAAAATACTGCTCTACACAGGCTTAGCACACAGTGTACACTCTGCTCTCTCCTCTTGTGCCCAAAGCAGACATCACGAATCAATCACAGCATACTTGCTGAGGCCAAATCTGGCTTAGACTCTCATTCAGCCAGAGAGACAGGAATTACTACAAAGTGTTCAGAACTGAGTGGATGAAATTTGTCACCAGTGACCTAAGGTTTCTGTAAGGTGTGCCCAAGGGAAGCCCAGGTTTCTGGACTACAGTGAGGTCACAGTTATTGCTTAGAGGCAGAATCTAGAAAATGCAGGCCAGGTATCAGCACTATTGCCTTTGTCTAGTCATAATTGAGACAACAGGAAGGGCCAGGCAGTGGGGGCTATAGGTTATGCTAACTCGCTTGTTTCCCAAATAGTTCCTCCTTACTCCACAGTGCTTCCAGGAAACTTTCCCAACCCTTACCAATGAGGTTCCACTGTAAGCAGTGACACATCCATCAGCTGGTGTACTCAGCACAGCACAGAGTAGCAAGGTGACTGTTTCCCACACGATGCCAGTTCAGTGGGTGCTCTTGGCATCTGACTGCTCTCAGAGCATGTGGGAAGCCTGGCTTCCTCAGGCCTTGCTCCAGGGCTGTAGCACCATCCACGTGGAGTCCCCTGGTTGCAAGGCCTCTCGAAGGGAGGATGGTACCTGACTGGACATCTCTATGAATGGTTGGAAGCAGGCACTGTCCCCTAAATGGGGACCCCAGGCATCTGCTCCAACAACCGCCAGCCTCCAATTGGGGAGGGGGGGAGGCATTTAAGCAGAAGACAACTTCTAGGGGTTAAAGGGGAATGGAGAAACGGGGTGTGAAGTTCAGGGAAGGGAGGTGACCTACCTGTTGATAAGCAGGAAGTTGGCCATGAGACACAGCAGGGAGGGTATAGTGGAGGCGACTGCCAGGTAGCTCTCAAAGTAATTCTGAGAATACACAAGGGAGGAGACTGCTTGGTCACTCAAGGGTGGTGAGCACCTGGGTAGGGGGCAGGTCCCACTGTCCCCAGACACCTGGAAGCCATGGCTTAGTCTACCCAGGTTCACATGGTCCCACTCCCATCTCCAACGTGACCCTCACTGAAGTCACTCAACCAACAGCAGCCAATGGCAGTTAGGGCTAAGTTGTACAGAGTACTGGGGTCACAGGGAAGGCTTTGACATTGTCCCTATTCTGCAGGAGGCCCATACTCCCACCACTACACCTGTCTCATCAGCAGACTGGATGGGGGGTGGGACTCAATAAAGAACTAAAAAGAAAAGCTCCACCCCATCAGCCTTGCAGGCACATTAGCAGACTGTGGTAACCTACCCTCTTAAAAAATCTTTAGGGCTGGAGAGATAGCTTGGCAGTTAAAAGCACTGACTACTCTTGCAGAGGACCTGGGCTCAATTCTCAGTACCCACATGATGGCTAACAACTGTTCCTAACTCCAGTTCCAGGGAATCTGACGCCCTCTTCTGACCTCTGTGGGCCCTGCACGGCACAGGTGCACTTACATATATGTAGTCAATACACTGGGAACTGAACCCAGGTCCTCTGCAAGAATAGCCAGTGTGTTAACTACTGCGCCATCTCTCCAGCCCACTGCCCTCTTACTCAGACTACTTAGACCTATCCCAGGTCCTGTGCCTGTAGGGGGACTTGGTTCTAGCCCAGGGCTTACTAGTCACAGAGCTATAGCAGAAGGTCAAAGTCAGAAGGGAAAGTAACTCCTAGACTGGCCAGGAGGAGAGAGGAGGGCACTGTCCTCAGGTCTGGAGGAGACTGAGTGAGCCCAGAACAGCACCAGGGGCTCTTCCAGCCACAAATGGCAAGGAGTCAGAACTGAGTCTGCAAACTGGATATTTTTGCCAAAACCTCAAGAGCTGTCCCCTCATCGATGTGAGCATTATCCCTAGCTGTACCTGTCTTCAAAATAGAACACTGCAGAGAGTTATAGGGAAGGGGACACTCGGTGACAGCATAAACCAGGCCCTGGTTCAGGGGGGCAGGGAGGGAGAGAGGAAGGGAAGATGGGCGGGAAAAAGAAAAAGAAGGAAGGGAGGGAGGGAGGGAGGGAGGGAGAGGGAGGGACGGAGGGAGAGAGGGAGAAGGAAGGAAGGAAGGAAGGAAGGAAGGAAGGAAGGAAGGAAGGAAGTCAAGGGCCAACTACCTTGCTTTGGTCTTGAGTCCCCCAGATGTATCATAAGCTGCTCTAAGGCTTACAAGTATTAGGCATTTACTATATAACAAACACAAGGGATTTAAATGGATTATATCATTTAACTCTAAGCAAACAAAAAGCAGTCTGAGCACTCCATTCTGGAATGCTTAAGCAATGCAATGTAACCGAGGAAACACTTCAAGATCACAGGAGCCAAGTGCAACGAACAGCATGCACAAAACACTTGCCCCTATCTCAGAGCCTGCCAACTGGAAGGTTCACTGAGTCCAAGATGTGCTTCTGGTCCTTCAGGAAGGCGTGTGTCCCACTGAGAGTAACAGGAGGAGTGTGAAGGCTTTTTCACAGCTCCAAACACAGAGATGTCAGATTTCCCTGCTAGGTTTTGATTAGTACTGTTGAGTGGCAAATCGGAGGGAAGAGAGATGAGTCTTAAGGAGCTCCAGGCAGGAGGGGGTCCCACCTTGGAGAAAGTAGGAAGGAATGTGGGCATGAGGAGAGGTACAAAGGGCAATGGGGCTGTAGTCGGACCCAGAAGGAGGGCCCCATTTCTCCTTTCTGGATGGATGTGATTGCAAACAAGGATGAAAGACACAGATGCCCTTGGACCCTCCTGGTCAGCATCATAGATCCTCTTGGGTCCCCTTTGAAGGCTACAGAGGGCTTTGTGCTCTTTGGAAGGGGCACCCTGAATATAAGGTGGTGGCAGACTTGAAATTAAAATGATAATCACAACTCATCAGCCGTGAGCCTTAGAAATAGCCTTCCGCCTCTGAGGTACCCCCTCATTGTCCCTGCCCTGATGGGCTCAGCAGAGCCTGCCCTGGGCTGGACAGTCAGTCAATTACCTCCTGACACAGTGGCTGAGTCCATGTGAGGCCAGGCAGGCAGCAGAGGAAAGGAGGGAGTGAGGGACAAAGGCCAGGGGAGGGCTACAGAGGGAGTGAATACCCCTGGCTCCAGGCAGCACCCCCGCCCCCCCGCCATCTATTTTTCCAAGAAGGCTCCTGGTCTCTTGATGTTTAGGGATGGGGATTTTCCAGGTAACTGAATGTTCTGGTTTGTTGATGGTCAAGTGGAAGGCCCTGGCTTTTAATGTTGGAAAGCTTTTTAAATACTGACAGCTGAACAAAACTCAGTCCCTTCCTGTTGACTTAGCCTATTTTTCTGTTTTATGGAGAACAAGCCAATGAGGGGAATGAACTCAGCCTGGACTATCGTCCCACCATCATAGACAGGGAGATGCAGATGGTGACGTAAGGTGAGTGCATCCCATACAACTATTTTTTTTCTTTTTCTTTTTTTGTTCTTAATGAGACAGGGTCTCCCTGTAGCCCCAGCTAGCCTGGAACTCACTATGTAAACCAAGCTGGCCTTGAACTCACAGCCTCTGCCTCCCAAGAGCTGGACAAAAGTCACGTACCACCACATCTGACTGCATGCAACTATTTTTTAAAACTTTATCTTGATTCAAAGATATGGTTTCTCTCTCTCTCTCTCTCTCTCTCTCTCTCTCTCTCTCTCTCTCTCTCGTGTGTGTGTACGTGCATGCATGTATGTGTGTGTGTGCAGTATTACGGATTCAACCTGTATGTCAGGCAAGCCCTCTATCACTGAGCTATAACCCAACTCCTCACTAAGCTGCTCAGGCTGGCTTTGAACTTACTCTATTGTCTAGGCAGACCTTGAACTTTTAATACTGCCTCAGCTTCCTAAGGAGTAGGGGTTACAGGCTTGGCCTTGTGGGCAGGCTTTTAACATGGTTCCATGACCTCTACCTCAGGTATTCACCCACTTGGTAAATAGTCCAGTCATCAAGTGTGGACTTTCAGTCAAGAAAAATGAGCAAAGGTGACAGGCGTGCATGACTGAGTTCCTGTCAGTACCAGGGAGGTTGCAATGCCAACTTGCTAGGCTCGGTAACTATTTGGCTGACTTTCGAGGCCATGGTGAGGAGCCCCACGTGGCAAATAATGGCAGGTGACCCCGAGTTGCTGAGGGTGGTTTCCTATGAGAAATGGAAGCTCTTGACTATGTAGCCACAAGGTTCTGGATTCTGCCATAAACCTGAGGGAGCCAGGAACCCCCACCAAGTAAGCCTCAGCTGAGAACCTCATGAAGACCCAACCAAGTCACAGCAGACCTCTGGCCTCAGAAGCCTCAAGATGACATGTACTGTGTGGAGCCATGGGGATTCAGATTGCTAAACTCCTGTCAGTCTTCGTCTTCTGAATACTGCGGCCTTCCAAGTTGAACTTACACTTTGTTCCTTGATGAAAACAAGCAAGCTGATCATGGACCTTTATTCAACCTTCTGCCAGACACAGGGTCTAATGTACTTGACTTTGAGGAAACAAAGGCCCTGCTTGCTGGACACACTGGTTCCTCTTGCCTCACCTCATCATCTCTCTGTGCAAAGTGGGACTTTTGCAAGAGTCATGCACTGATTTCAGTAAACTAGATTTGATGTGTGTACCACCCAGGCCCACTAGACCTATGCACTGCCCACTTCCTAGGCTGGGCCCTTTGGATGTGCTAAGGGCCTGGTAACTCTCCCAGAAGGATGATGGGTCAATGCCCCAGAATCAGCTCTGACCAATGAGGGGCAGGACATAGGGAGGTTCCTGCAGATTATACTGTCTCTCCTTCCCAACAGCTGTTCTGAAATACTGCAGTTCCCATGGTTTTGGGGGAGATGGTCCATGTTTACTAGCAAGCTGTGGCCAGCTTCAAGGTCCTACAGCTTGTGTTTCCTCTCTGTCCCTGCCTTCCTTCCTTTCCCTTATTGTGACTCCTGACAGTTCCCACAAAGGGATGGTTGTGTGTGATGATAGGGCCAATGCTTCATCCAATCCCAGGGCCACATCCTGTGGCTAGTGACACAGACAAAACCCCAAGTAGGCCTCCTGGGACAGCAGGTGGAAGATGGTGACACAGCAAAAGGGGAGGGCCAAGACATCCCAGGTGACAAGGTCTCCCTTAGCAGGCTTCTCTGCCTTGGCACACTTGGCCCCAGGCAGAAGACTTAAGCCTGGTGTGTGTATCACCCTAGGCCTTTGGCCATGGTGGAGCAGCCACCATCCATCATGACAGCACTGTATCCTCTTTAACGCTCCTCCCCTTTGCTGGTGTCCCACTTCCCATGTGCAGGGCAATGCAGAGCATGAGTGGGTGAGCAGAATCACCCCAGTGCCCAACTGTTCTCTGTGGAGGTCTGGGAAAGCCCAGAGCTGTGGCACAAGGGACACAGTGTAGGGAAGCTCAGACAGAAGGGTGTCCAGTGGGTTTCTAGCAAGGCCTGTCTGGATGGCAGCTGGACACATTGGGAAAGTGTGTCCACAGATACAGGAGGTGGGTGGGGTGGAGACAGAAGGGGGTAATTCAACAGGGGAGCACCCTATTTTGCCATGTTCCTTTGTGGGAGCTGACTTCTTGTCCTCAGTGGGAGTCTGCTGAGCTGACATACTGCCCAGGGCTGTGCATTCACTCCAGGTATAACTCAGGGACAGGACACAGGCAGGAAGGCAGGTGGTATTCCAGGCAGCCATGACACCAGGGTGCTAATATCAGATGTGGGTACCAGGCCCACTCTGAATTTCCAAAGCCAGTATGAGATGAGGCCCAGTTCTGTGGAAGCAAGGGTCAGAGGTTCACTCCCCGGGATATCTGATCTAATTCCCTGCCAGACCACTATCTCCCAAGCCATCTGCATCCTGCAGGGACTTAGGGCTCTGGAGGGGCTCAGTATCAGTCTGCGGTGGC